AGGGATTTTCCCAAATTCCCGGGTTTTTTTTGTGTTTTTTCCCAAATCCCCGTTGTTATTTTTACGGATTTTCCCGAATTCCCGTTTTTTTGCCCCATTCCAGGCCCCCTGGGCCGGGCCGGGTTTGGTTCCGGAGGCTCCGGTTCCCAAATTCCCGTCGTTTTCACCCAAAATTCCCGTTTTTTTTTTTGGTGATTTTTCCCCAAATTCCCGTTTTCCCCCCCAAATTCCCGGTTGTTTTTTTTACGGATTTTCCCGAATTCCCGGTTTTTTGCCCCATTCCAGGCCCCCTGGGCCGGGCCGGGTTCGGTTCCGGAGGCTCCGGCGGCCGCGGCGGCTTCAGCGGTGGGGGAGGGGCGCAGCAGCGAGCGGGGGACTGGAAATGCCCCAACCCGTGAGTGCTTGTACTGGTTTATACTGGTTTATACTGGTTTATACTGGGATTGACTGGGATTGACTGGGATCGACTGGGATTGACTGGTTTATACTGGTTTGGACTGGTTTATACTGGTTTATACTGGGATTGACTGGGATTGACTGGGATTGACTGGTTTATACTGGGATTGACTGGGATCGACTGGGTTATACTGGTTTATACTGGTTTATACTGGTTTATACTGGGATTGACTGGGTTATACTGGTTTATACTGGGATTGACTGGGATTGACTGGAACTGACTGGGTTATATTGGTTTATACTGGTTTGGACTGGGATTGACTAGGATTGGCTGGGATTGACTGGTTTGGATTGGTTTATACTGGTTTGGACTGGTTTATACTGGGATTGACTGGGTTTTACTGGTTTATACTGGTTTATACTGGGATTGACTGGGATTGACTAGTTTATACTGGTTTATACTGGGATTGGCTGGAGCTGACTGGTTTATACTGGTTTGGACTGGGATGAACTGGTCTGGACTGGGAGGGTTGGGTCGGGTGGAGCTGGGGGCGGGGTCTGTCGTATGACATCACTGTTGGCATGGTGACGTCACTGCTGACATCACTGATGACGTCACAAGGGGGGGTTGGGAGAACGGGGAGGGGGGAGGGGACTGGGATGAACTGGGATAAACTGGGATAAACTGGGGCGGGGTGGTTCTGTGGGCGGGGTTTGTCGTGTGACGTCATTGCTGCCGTGATGACGTCACTGATGATGTCACAGGGCATGTGAGAACGGGGAGGGGGGAGGGGACTGGGGGGAACTGGGATGAACTGGGATAAACTGGGACGGTT